ATAATGACTTTATTTTGTGAACTTCAATAGCCATGGAATATGTTTGCCCTTGCCTAGTTGCATATTACAACATATTGTACATCAAAACGTCTTGTGTGAATGACCTTTTATACATCAAAATGTCATATGTGCATGTTTCAAGACAATAATGTTTTAGAACAATATTGTGTGTATAGCTTAATATCTTCATATGCAATGTTTACACACGCTCTTTATATTTTCATCTTAAAGTTCATATGCATAATGACTTTATTTTTTGAACATCATCAACGAGCAAATATATTTACCCTTGTCTAGTTGCATATTACAAAAATTAATGCCTAAGACACTATCTTCTGATGAAATCCCAAAAATTATCATATACTTCCTTCATCTTAAATGTTTTTAGTGAAATTTGCACTAAATAGGACTAAAACATAATGACTTTCCTAATGTAAAACTTAAACTTTTTTATTCCCTAAATAGGACTTAATAATGACCTTGTGGAAGGAATAATGTCCATGACGGACATTTACTTGAATAATGACTACTTGATAATGACCAAAAGTCCTATATTGAGAAATAAAAACATATGGTCCTATATTGGAAAAGTCGTTATGTTTTAGTCCTATTTAGGTAAATTACTCATGTTTTTATAGTTCAACTTTTAAAGATAAAGATTACACATTTTGATCATTAATCATGGAAATAAATATTTTTTAGTTATTACTCCCTCTGTCCCCTAGTTTTTGTCTACTTTTGACTTTTGAAACTGTTCATCTAAGCACTTTGACTCATCAAATTCTCTCAATGTGTAAGCCTAAATATAGTCATGTGTGATCTTGTTTGATTTGTCTTAACATATAGATTATTAATATATAATTTCTATAATTTTTTAATATACAAATTACAAGATAAAATGGATTAAAGAAATACATTGGATGGTATGTAAAAATGAAACTGGACAAATACTCTGGGACGGAAGGAGTATGTAAATTTAATACAATTAATTTTATTTTAAATTAGATAAGTAATCGGATAATGTGTTTTTTTACTATTTCTATGGCCATTCCCTAAATTATAGCCCAACTTGATTGAGGAAAAAACGGCGGGAAGTTTTCCTCATGGGATATTTTTGTAATTTTATAGTACTATACGGTAATGCAAATAGGAGTACTCCTATTTAGGGAAAAGTGGTGTCTTTTACTCTTATATATGTAAATTACTCTTCTTAAAACCATTCCTCTTTCTTTTTTTTTTTCTTAAAATACTTCTCTTTTCTATTAAAAACCTACTTTTACCTCTACTTTTTCATACTCTACCTATCACATCATACTTTGTCACTAATAATTAAACTATCACATCTTATTTTTACCCATCACATCAGGAACAAAATTGGAAAGTCAACTAAAATTACACTTTTCTTCCCCCCAAAGTTAAAACAAGAACCGTTTTGAGAAACGGATGGAGTACTAGTATATATCACCATAAAATCATCTAAAAATGCATTATACCCATTATTTGCAAATGAAGCCTTAATTTGGCAACAATAATAGGGATTACTCACTCTATCTGAAAATATATTCTTCTAATTAACTTTTCAATAAAATTCTTCCATTTTAACACCCACTCGCGTAAATTAATTCACTCCAAATTAAAGAAACCATTATTAAAAGTTTAATATTTTTTTTCCTCTTCTAAAGAAGTGTTGTAAGTCAGCACAAAAAATATATTTACTAATGAGAGATATATAATAAAATAAAAATGTCAATATTATTATATTGTGACAAAGAGTGTGATGCCAAATGAGAGATCAATTTGGGCAATGCATTTACTCCCAAAGACGAAATTTAATGCTTGCATATGCTACATACTCTTTAAATGAACTCCCTCATTCACTATCCATCTTCTCCCGACCGCCGTCTGTGTATAGATCTCCCAATTCCTACCTTCCATTAATTCAACTTTCAAATCTCTTCTCCTAAAAAAAAAAGAACTTTCAAATCCCTCTTTTAATTTCTACCCATTTTCATACATAAAACCCAGAAAAGTCTACTCAAAAGTGTCGTAATAATTAACCATACATTTACGTGACACTTTTTTATGCCTAACACTGTGAGTCAGATTTCCACGCGGCTTCATCCTTGCCTGTGGTATACAGCTTTCTCCCCGCCCATAAAAAATGCTAGAGTTACAAATAAATAATTCACATACTTTATGAATAAAAAATTAAAATTATTTTACTCTATAGTTTATTTAAAATATGTGATTTCTAATAGAAAAATGTTTCTTTGAATAAATTATAATCAAACATTTTTATTTTTCTGTACTGCGGAGTATTTTAAAATCTCACAAGAAAGTATTTCCTCCGTATACACGTACCAATAATAAATCGCCGCAAAATCTAAGTGTATAAAAGGGGATGAAAGCTGAAAAGAATTTGTGTTTTTATTTACTCCGTAACAGATATAGATGAATCGTCCAGGGGGTACTATTATTATTATCACTTTTTTCCTCCTCCTGTGTTTTTTATCCGCCGCCGGCGGCGGCGGCGGCGGCAAGTGGGAGCTACTGCATGAAAACCTCGGGATAGTGGCCATGCATATGCAGCTCCTCCGCAACGACAGGGTGGTGATCTACGACCGCACCGATTTTGGCCTCTCCAACATGTCCCTCCCCGCCGGGAAATGCCGTTTCGACCCCAACGACCGGGTCCTTCCGGTTGACTGTAGCGCCCACTCCGTCGAGTACGATGTTGCCTCAAACTCCCTGCGGCCGCTCACCGTCACCACCGACGTCTGGTGCTCCTCGGGCTCCGTCGCCCCCAACGGAGCCCTCGTCCAGACCGGCGGGTACAACGACGGTGACCATGTGGTTAGGGTGTTCCGTCCGTGCGAGGATGGGCAGTGCGACTGGGAGGAGATGGGAGGGGGGCTGGTGCAGCGGCGGTGGTACGCCACCAACCACATCTTGCCGGACGGCCGCCTGATCGTCATCGGCGGCCGTCGGGCTTTCAGCTACGAGTTTTACCCGAAAGTAGAAACCGGAGACCATGCATATAGTCTCCGGTTCCTGGTCCAGACCAATGACCGGTACGAGGAGAACAACTTGTACCCGTTCGTTTTCTTGAACGTCGACGGGAATCTCTTTGTTTTCGCGAACAACCGGGCAATCTTGCTCGATTATTCAAGGAATGTCGTGCTGAGGACGTTCCCGGAGATGCCCGATGGGCACCCGAGGTGTTACCCGAGCACGGGCTCGGGCGTGCTTTTGCCGCTGAAGAACACTTCATCCCCGGCGGCCACCATCACGGCGGAGGTGTTGGTCTGTGGAGGAGCGCCGAGGGGCGCGTACCTCAACGCTCAGAATGGGAAGTTCTTAGGTGCACTCAACACTTGTGGACGGATCCGGATAACCGACCCGAACCCGCAATGGGAAATGGAGTCCATGCCGATGGCCCGCTTGATGGGCGACATGGTCACCCTACCTAGTGAGGAAATCCTCATCATAAACGGGGCCGCGTCCGGGTCCGCTGGATGGGAATTCGGGAGGGACCCAGTCTTGAATCCGGTTCTCTACCGACCCGACCAACCCGTCGGTGCCCGATTCATGGTACTGAACCCATCCCGAATCCCCAGAATGTACCACTCGACCGCGATTTTGATCCGTGACGGTCGTGTTCTGGTTGGGGGTAGCAACGTTCACGAAGCGTACAACTTCACCAACGTCATGTTCCCAACAGAGCTGAGATTAGAAGCGTTTTCGCCTCCATACCTAGACCCGACGCTCGCGAACAAACGCCCGGTCATCATATCGCCCGCCCCGAATTCACAATTCGAGTACGGGAAGCGGTTTTCGGTTCGATTCAAGCTGGCGGGCGGGGCGGTGAACAAGAATTTGGTCACGGTCACAATGGTTGCACCTTCATTTAACACGCATTCTTTTTCCATGAACCAGAGGCTGCTGCTACTTGATTCTTTGGGTGTAAAACCAATTGGCAAAAACGGGTACCAAATCGACGCGGTCATGCCGGGCTCGGGCAGTCTAGCCCCGTCGGGTTACTATCTACTCTTTGTGGTGAACCAGGATATACCGAGCGAGGGCATTTGGATACATATTCACTAAGAAATTTATACACACAGTCAATGTATATTTTTATTTTATCTGTCTTAATTTATTGTGCCACTTTGCGGGGACACTTTTACTAATAAAATGAATTTTTTAATTAAAATTTATGTAAAATAAATAAAAATGTTGGGAATATAATCCTAAACTATACGGAGTATATAGATTATGTTTTAAATGAAAAAATATAGGTACAATAAATTAAAACAAGATCTACCCAGCGAGGGTATTTACAAATTATTTAAATTAATTTTTTTGTGTCCACTTTAACTAGATACTTTTACTCATAAAAACAGTTTTGTTAAACTTTGCACAAAATAAAAATAATAATGTGAATGATGAAATAAACTCTCAATGTTTTGAATAAAATATGTCGAATAAATTGAGAGGAGACAAATTAAAGTAGAAAATATGTGCAACCAAGTATTGTATTGTTGTTGTATCGTAAAAGAATTAATTTTAATTAGTGGCAAATGGCTCTATTAACTGTATTGAAGGTGACACATGTGAACGATTGACGGTTTGTGTCATTTGTTCTAAATCGAGTGATTGTGTTGGCTGATTATGAGATGAATTATGAATATTTAGTAAACTTAACTCTTTGCAAAAAGATATTTTGAAATTTAAAATATTATTTGTTTTTCATTTTTATCGATGTAAAAATTAAAGGAAAAAAGACTAAAATAGGAGTAAAAAAATAGAAAAAAACCAAAATTAATTTTTAATATGACAAAATATACTTTCATGTAATCCATAGAAATTAATAATACTAGAATTTCTAATTAGATGCGATAAGATAGTTAAATGAGATGACATCTATGATGTGAGTTTTATTTACAACTAAGTCAATTTTGGACGGAACAAGTATTATTAGTTTATTTCTGATTTTTTAAGAATTTATTTTTCTATTTTTTGTTTTTAGTTTTGATTTTTATTTATTCATTTCATTTATTTTATGTTTTATCTTTTTAATTCTTAATTTTAATTAATAATATAATTTTTAATTTTAAATTTTGATTTTTGACTTTTTAATTTTTAATTTTCAAATTTTTAATTTAAATTTTTTTACATTTATTTACAAATAAAAATAATAAAAATATTAATTTTTTCTAATAACAACCAAGTCCAAAAGTTACTCTAGTTGGTTGTTCAGATTTTGACTTTTTGAGCTGAGCAACTAAGTGAAAAAGTAATTTGACAAACAATGATTTTGGTTGTTTGATTGGTTAAAATAGTCAAATTCAATCAAAGAAACTAAAAGCTAATAGAAAAACCATTACCCAAAGTCCAAACACGCCTTATATGGTATGAGAGGGTTATGGAAAATGATGGAATATAAAGTGGTATGATGTTGAGTACTAATAAAAATATGTTTGGTATGGTGGGTGTGGGAGGGAGTTACGAGACAAACCTTTGATCTTTTGTAATCATTTTATTCTCAAATTGATATATTAATAAAAAATACGTATTACAAAGTTATGTTAAAACTCTACGAAATAAGAGGTGATAAGAAATTGAAAATATTTTATTTTATCTAATAATCAATAAAAACACACAAATAAATACTCCCTCCGTCCCCCATAGATCTTCTCAATAGCCTTTTTTCTTTGTCCACAATAGATCTTCTCATTTCATTTTTTAACAATTAAAATACCACAACTACCCTCACTTACTTTATTTATTACACCTCACCACCTCATTTAATACGCTCCACCCATTTTTCATTAAGGGTATTATGGTAAACTTTCACCTTTTTTCAACTCTCCTTAAAAACTACCAAAAGTCAAAATGAGCATCTTAGGGAGACGGAGGAAGTATAAATTATCGGGGAGGGAGAGAGAAAAAATCATAATTTATTTCGGAGTGAGAGTGTTTTGTGTTTTGATGTTTGAGTAAATTCTATAATTGGTCCTTTATAACAGGGGGGTTTCCCTATTTAGTCCTCTATTATCAAATATTAACCAAGTGTTCCTTCTTTTATGAGTACCTTTCCACAAATAGTCCTTTTTTTTATCTTCTATCATGTTGGTGTTAATTTGAGGGCTAAAAGTGTAATTTCAGAATGATAATATATCTTTTTTGTCATACACAGTTCCAAAGGCTATTCCGTTTGCGTCGTTTGTGAATTACAATCGCTTTTTACGACAACTATAGTCTACAAATGTGATCTTTCGTCAGAATCCTAGCCCACAATCATAGTCATTATTTTTGTGTTATCCGCTTAACCAATATCAGAACACGTCACTAGACATAATGTTGACGTCAAATTATATTTTTAGCCTTTAAATTAACACCAACACGGCAGAAGATAAAAAAAAGGACCATTTGTAGAAAGGTACCCTTAAAAAAAGGACTACGGGGTAATATTTGATAATAGAGGACTAAATATGGAAAACCCCTGTTATAAAGACCAATTATGGAATTTACTCTTGATGTTTTGTTGATTTGGTGGTAAAGCCGGCCCATGTTAACATCAGATTGTCGGCAACTTTGTTCTAATAATGGTGGTTGCTGGAACCCGCGGAAGTATTAATTCTGCTCCGGATGTATTTATTTATTGTTGTCTTTTAGCGCACTAAAATTTCATTATTTAATAATCTCATAATAATTTCGGTTATTTCAGATAATTAATCAACATATTACTTCAGCCATTTGGTTAATAATGGTGGTGCTAATTTCAACGGTAATTCATGCACATAGAACTTAAACATGCATATAAGTTTTCTTAAAATAAAACCGGTTTTATTTACTCTAACGTTTGATAATGGAAAATTCTAAAATATTGTGCCTTTGAAAATGAATGCAAATGGATGATAATAACTCCAAACTGAAAACTAGTTACGTATATAATTTTAATTAAAAATAAGTTAAAAAGAATGGATTCAAGTCATCTATATATAGTATGTACTGCATTTCTAAAGAATAATGTCAACAGGGAAAATAAAACGTACTTCTTCGGTTCCTAAAAAATTTTTGTGCTTCATTTTTTACACATTTCATAAAACACACTTATCACACGTCTATGATATCTAAAATTCGTTACCATTTCTCCTTTATTGCTGGTAGATGTTGTTTTAGGGGGTACTTTAGACATTTCAATTGAGATATATGCATTATTTTATGGGATGCGTAAAAAATAAAATAGAAAACTTTTTTTAGGAATTGAGATAGTACTATATTATACTCATGGAGTACATGATTGACTCCCATGTCCCAAAAACTTCGTTACCGTTTGAATTTTTTTTCACAAACTACTACACATTTTTATTATTCTTAACTTACCATTAGATTGAAGCATGTACTGTAATTAATAATTAAAGAATAATTATATAAATAAACAAATCAAAAGAAAATTCAGTTTAATAAGTTTATTTGGAGACGGTTGGAATATGGATTATGGATGTGAAGGTTGGAATGGAGTAACAAATTAAACAGTCTAGCAATTACTTTTAAATAATAGTTTATATTGTAAGATATAGGGCAAAATATCTTATTTATTTAAATTGTAAAATACTTACTACCTTTTGGAGTTAGAATTTGAGTAGATAAATAAATTAAACATGATGTTGCATGAATGTCTCTTTAAAAAAAAAATACTTAGATGACTTATAAAAACTCATTACAGGTAACAACAAAATCCGATAATGATGATGATAATGATGATGATAGTCGTAGGAGTAATATATAATAATAAAAATACATATTTTATAGAATTTAAATTTAAAAAATTCCAAAAAAATCTGTAAAATTACATTATAGACAATTATTAAAAAGTTTTTTCTACTTATGTTTAAAATATGAAGTACATTGTAAATTATAAATTTTTCAAAATACAAAAATTAAAATAAAAAATTTCTAGAAAGCACGGTTTAAATAAAATCAAAAATAAAATATACTTTCATTAGAATAAAAAAATTAGATTGTGTCAGTAAAATATAATTTTAAATTTTTTAAAAATATTTGACTTTATATGTGTCAAGTACAAAGTTAATCAATTATAGGATAATTTACAAGTTAATTTGGAAGTCATATGGAATGTCACATGTACACTAGAAAGCCAAATGGAACGTCACATGTGCACTTATCGGCCCGATTTTCAAAATTCAGGCAAGGGGTATTTTTTTGTTACATTTTTTAAAGAATGGGTACTTTTTTGTTAGAAATTGAAGATGTATTTTTTTTGTTGCAAATGGAAGATAGGGTACATGTGGAAACAAGCAATAAATATGGGAAAAGGTGAAAAGTCAGTTTGAATCTGTTATTGGTGATGCATGTAATAATGCATGGATGTATGGGGCATCCATCCAAGAGCTGCTTTTGATTGAAGAAGAAGAAGAAGAAGACAGGGAAATCCAAGAGCTGCTTTTGATTGAAGAAGAAGAAGAAGAAGACAGGGAAATGGCCGCAGTAAAAATAAATGAATAAATTAAAAAAATGATGGGATCTGAGGTGATCAGTTCACGGGTAAGAATTGAAAGAGTGTCGTCTTTGTGTTGAAGTGGATCACGAGATTGGATTGAAAGTCCCCAATAATTCAAAGAATAAATTAAAGGTTTATTTAGTTTTTTTTATTTCACTTAAAGTAAAATAAGAAAAGAGATATCCATGGAAGAAGAATCAGATATATACCAGGAAACCAAATATGAATAAGAATTCTATTTCCTAACAATAGGGTATCTTACTAATTCGTTGAAAGTATTAGTATAAATGAAGTGAAGATAAAAAAAAAAAAATTAGGACTGTATATATTCTAATAAAAATGAATATTTTTTTTCTTTCCAAAATCCCATTTATTATTTGAACAAATCCTGCAACGAAGCAACTCATTTGTCCATTTTAGAAAAGATGTATGTAAATATGCCCTCTCTATAAGCAAGCTCTTGGACCCTTCCCTGTTGTGACGCATTCCACATTTTACGTCCTCATCATCATCTTTGATGACACAGGCTTGGAGGACCTGGGTGTTCCATTTTTTTCTTTTGATGTAAATACAAACATAGTAGAGCATCTTTTGTAGTTTCTTTTACTTTCCTTTTATTACATCTCCTTCTATTGTTATGGCAGGCCCGGCCCAATAAGGGGACAAGCAGTCCGTCCCGGCCAGGCCCAAAAATTTAGGGGGCACAATTTTTTAAAAAAAACTAGTATCACACCCGTGCGTTGCACGAGTCATTTTTATGTTATTAAATTTAAATCATTTTTCAATGATAAAAAA